TCAATCCGTAAGGATGATAACAAGGATATAAACAGGGAAGAAGTGCTGGAGAGTCTCCGAGAAAAGAGTTGCTTGACGATTTTGTTCCTAGCAATACATTTCGGTTCAAGTTCAACACCAGAGCGGTGGCGATCAGTGGAGAAGTTTGAAAAGCGATCGAGGGTACCACCAGAGATCAGACGCCTGAAAGCGCGGGCATCAGCCGCGGCGTTGAGCTCGGAGAGTGAGGGTATACAGGCGAAAAATTTTTTGACTTGGACAATGAATTGTCTGTTTGACAAGTAGGCACCAATCCAGTCAACGATGGATTGACGAATTCTTAGAGCAGAACGTTTTGAGAGGGGACGACCGCGATTCTCCCGGCCGAACGCTTGATAAAGTCAAAATAGACGCAGTGAACATCGCGCCCGGTCAAGAGAGCGACGCCCCAGCTCTAGAGGGCATCCAGTAGTTGCGTCACCAAGGAACGGCCCTTGCAGAACCCATGTTGATTTTGATCAAAGAGGTCATTCCACGATAAGTAGTGGGAGATGTGATTCGCAATAATGCTCTCCATACGGAGACAAGCGACCGAAACTTGAGCGATTGGGAACGATCGCCTTTCTTGAAGATATGGGTGACTATCGATTGTCTGAAACATGACGGCACGGCGGATTCGGCAAGTGATCGCATGAAGATGATCGAAAGAGGAAGAGCGAGCGCTCCAGAGAACTCTCGGAAAAGAATAAGAGGTGATAAAAGGCGAAAATGTGGCTAGGTAGAAGTAATTCACTTGGTATGTCCGCATCGATGATTTTGGAGCATACCTCCCATGAAAACACACTGTTGCGGAGATCAGTCTTGGGTGATTCATGCGTATTGTGCAATGACCACGTAGGGAGTCCGACCGCGCATCGAAGAGAAGATCTGAGTTTCCAAGGACACTTCGTTTGAGAAGCCGAGCGCCGTCTGACAAAACCGACATTACTCGCGAGACCGAGATGCTTCCGGCAGAACCGTCTGGTATTCGTCGCTGACTCTATTTCCCCGAGGTTCGCACCATAGGAGAGGGACTTCCTTCATCGGATTGAGGTGATACTGTGAGATACATGGTACGAATAACCATGCCTGATGTACATGCTCACCGAATCAAATTGCCCCGATTGCTCCTCATTCCGCTGGATCAACTCGGAGACAAGCAATAAGTGTCTTGTCGAGTGCCATCTGAGACTATAAGCGCCTACGCTGTGCCCCATCTCAGTAAGAAATGTGTCAGCGATCGTTATCTTATTGACTCGAGAAAGAGGCTATGGGGCTCTGCAGATGTTGATCCGATCCCGCATCTCTTCTGAAAACGCGGCGGCAGAAATAGCTAGACTCACCGTGATCAGAGGCGGATCCAGAATTTTTTCTTGGTAGGGGCCAACCGCCGCTGATGCTGGGCCTCAACATGGAGCCCTATGGGCCGGAGAGAAATCTTTGTGAGGAGGGGGCAATGCCCCCCCCTCCTGGATCCGCCGCTGACCGTGATGCCCATAGCTGATCAAAGCATCCATATTCTGAGAGCAAGTCGGACTCCGTCTGTTTCATCCCATCTCCTGGTTGTTACAGCCAGCCGCCGTAGAGTCCTTGAGGATTCGAGTGATCTGCGGATGAGGATACTTGTCCGCAGCACATCTGACAATCTCGGAGGAATCGACAATACCCGAGTTTCGGGGTCAGCTCAGAGCGACGCTCCTCGGTCTATGCGGCAGCGGATCACGAAGACTGTTCTCACGGCTCCATCCCCGTCAATTCGCAATCAGTCGCGAGAATGGTGAAGCGTGATAGAAGTTTTCCACCGGGAGACAAGAGTCGCTCGTAAGCTCTACGGCAGAAGTTGACTGTGAACTGACTCAGCTCTCTCTTCCGATCTGGAACGCTTGTTGATGGCCTCAGTCACGAGTTGCACGGTGTTGTGACTTGTGACGGAAATTTTTCAGCGGAAATCCCGATTGCGTGACTGCCTCTCGATGATTTTCATTTTCCGCTTAAGAGAATCAGATCTCTTCTTGCATCGCGGACGACATCCAGACTTGAAAACGGCTGAACTTCGGACTCACACGATACGAAGTCGCTTATCCAGTGGGTGTTGCAGTCTGACCGGGAGGGATTTTTTTGCATTTCTCTCGCGAATGCTTCTTAATTATCGTCTCCGGTATCGGCCCGCGAGCGGTCCCTGCATTGCCGAGCTCTTCCCATCGACGCACTGGCTTTGCGGAATCAGTATCCTGCCTAAACTATTCAGTATGTCATTCTCCTCCAATTGTTCACTATTTCATTCTTGTTCAGTACAGTACAAACTCGATTATATCACACTCGAATGAATCACCCTGAAAATTTTGGAACTCGATTATATCACCCCCCACGATTCTCTCGTCCCGATATCGGGAAAACTCGATTATATCACCTAAAGAAACATTCGAATGAATTTTTCGAATGTTCCATCTCTGAACTTCTCAGAAACTTGATTATATCACCTCCACGAATCATGCCTGTGTTCCCATGTAACAAACCTGGAATAGTCTCGATGCCGCCGATAAACACTCATGTAATCGAGAAGAGGTATTTTCCAGTCAGAAAGCGATTTATTAAGAAGGGATCATCCATGGTAATTAGGCATTTCGATTGAAGAAAAGAGGCACACTGGACACTAGTTTGTGCCAAGCGCAGAAGCAGCGGCGCGCGGTCGGGCTAGTCGAAGCAAATCGGAGCAAATTTCTTGCGCCCCAAGCCACTGCAACGCTGTCTTCAATCGAGTCAGAGATGTGATATTATATAATCGATTCCCACGGGAGTCTATGGAACCTCGATTATATCACGCTCTAGATTATACCACCATTTCTGAAAACGAATTAGGTGATATAATCGAGTTTGTACCGTATTTCATTCTGCTCCTTGGTACGGCGAGATTCTCGCTTCCCTGCACGGATCGGCGAGCCCGGCGGCGTTCGTTCCCGGAGGATATCGATAAAGATCATGGCGGAGATAGATCCTCATCATTCCTCTCACAGAAGGAGCGAACCCTCCGTGTTGCCTGAAACAATCTCCGAGGAGCCTCGTTCGAACATTTCCCAAGTCCGCCCCTCTCGACTACATCCGAATGAACATCTGGTCAGGTAGATTGATTGGAATCCCCAACAATCTCTTTGTGCAGGAAAAACATAGATATACACCCAGGAACCACCGGCGCGGGCGCCGGTGAGTATTGATATGTCACGCCCGTCGAGAGAAGAGCCCTGCAAACTTCTTGCCAGGATTCCTTTCCATCTCGATTCTTCCTGGGTTGATGCTCCTGTCACGAATCTTCCGTTTCTTTCTACTTTCGGAATTCTCTCCTCCGACGAATTCGACTCCCTTTTCGAGATTGATCTTGATTTCCTCCTCCTGGCTTTCTTGGTCCCTATTCAATCGTCGTCCTGAGCCTCATCGACTGAAAATAGGCCCCACACCACTCGTTCGGGGTAGCAGTTTATTAGATATTACTTTTTCGACAATCAGCGTCAATACCGAATCCTGGGGATTCCGGCTGAGTCTTCTACATTCGAATCCTTCCTTAACTTTTGCAATATGGCCGAATAGTCAACCACGAGTTCTTCAGCACAAAGTAAGTCATCATTGTACGTATTTGATGATCTCTGCATCACATAATTATTGAGGGATCATTCCTGAATGTCGAAGCAATAACCTCGGGAGTCCTCTTCATAAAACTCCGCAGACTCATGAAATTGTTGTAAATATTTCGACAAAAGTCGCTCGATTTCATATTGATTGTATTGTCGCAGTCTCATTCCGGCTTTGAGCGGCTGAACGTCAGAGGTTCTTCCTGTTCAGAGTTAACAAAAGGGAGATCCTGTCCGTCGCTGGCGTGCGGGTCAGAAACTCCACGGAACCAACCTCGAGCACGCCTTCGCCACCGCTAATATGATTGTTTTACGGGATTGTACTGAGGAGCATGCAATAATCTAAATCTGGCTCGATCATACCGTCGGGCTCCGTCAATGCGCTGCATATCTGATAAGCAAGAATACCATAGGAGACGGTCTTTCAAGTGAGCGGCATATCACTCCTCGATTATTTTCGAGGGCTTTTTTTCGATTCCATCGTGGGACGGAATTCATCCGAAACTTTGATATGAAAAGAGGTTTTCCGCGACGAAGGATCTAGGCGAAGGGAACGAGGGAAACATCTTCGACGAGTACAGCGTCGGAAATATATGACAATTCCGCTCCTCCGGTACCTCACATCAATGGTGGGGAATACTCTAAAACAGAAGCCATACCTAAATCCTTCCTTCGTGGAACCTGAATCTGAGTCATGGAACTTCACCCATCTTCCAGCGACTGACCCGGATGAGATTCCTGAGCTCAGCCACATCGCCTTCATTTTCTGAGAAATAGACAGGCATGTCCCCGATTCAGTCACAGTTCACAGGAATTTTCTATGGAATTAGTTCATTGCTTTCTCTTTCTGATCACTCTCAAATCATTCATTCTGGTCGATTTTGTTGATCATAGCACCCGAAATCAGCTCCCTCCAGGATCCTCATATGGTAGCGATGCGGGTTCCACTTGGTCGAATGGAAAAAAAGTCAGAACTTCCACTCTTTCAACGTGTCGGTGATAAATAGTCTGACCTTTCTCATGGATATCGGTGTGGACCCCTTGGTGATTGTCTCTCGTGGGAGTTGGCAAACGATTCCCGCGTATTTCTAACTTCATCTTGATCATTTTCAATCAAGGCGATATCAGTGAGGTCAATTAGGAGAGGGTGACGGTGAACGATAAGTTCTCCGGCTCGGAATCAAGCCCCGACGGCGAGTAAAGGCTTGGTCCGACATCTCCTCTCGACATTCTCTTCAGCGGGACGGGGTTGGCACCTCTCCCTGTCGCTGCCAATCCTTCGTCTTGCCGTCGTAGGAGTAGCACCAGCAATTTTCGTTCCTCGGAACGTCGAAGGCAGTCGTGATGGTGCGATCGAGCGTGCTGAGGATGACGCGTATGTGTATTTGAAGCGGAATTCTTTCTTTCTCGCGAGATCCGGGAATCGAAATGCCACAAACCGGATTCCTTATTTGAGATCACGATTAACAAACTGCGAGTAAGAAGGCGAAACCAACTTGAGCTTCAGGAGCAGAGATTTTGGAGCATCATGTTCGTGTACTGTCGATTGATTAAACCTTCAACCTGATACAGGTTGGCCCGAAGTTTCATCACCTGTGGGAGTAAGCCAGCTTGGAGCAGGTCCAATACATTCTATCCGAGTTCATTTCACGCATTTCCTCCAAATTCTCCGACTCGCTTTAGGTTATACCTTATGGAAATGACAGGCGCATTTCCCCTCAGTGAAGTCTTTGTACCTCGCGTACGTCATGCGGAGTGTATCAACGACTGCGAAACCTCGCTGAAGAGATGCAGTAATGATGTGCTGATTATGCGAGACTATCTTCTTCAAGCTCTCCTGGAACGATAGTAAGTGATGCATTCACCGAAAGATAGACAGCATCCGACGACTAGAGGAGGCGGTTTGCGCTGGGAGCTTACAGAATCGCTGAGGGGAAAATTATACCACACTGCGGTGGGGAATATAGCACTTGGGCCAGGGCCGATCCGCTAGACCGGATTACCGTGCCCTGTAGTCACCTTTGGGAGGAAGTGGACGCCATGAACGCGCTGATGGAAGCCGGCACCCAATGTTTTCACCACTATCCTGGCCCCGTGAAGACCCTGCCTGTAAGAGAGGCGAGAGGCGGTGTCAAATTCCCTATCAGCGCATCAAAAGATCATTCCGAGCGCTTGATGCGTGGAATCAGCTCGCCTATAGGGGGAGCGGTCGAGGATTGTGTATTCCGATATGAGTGCCAATGCAGATAATATTGGAATCCAAGCGCGACGATGACTTACTCTGACAACAGCTTCAAAGCTGCATCCATGTGTGTCTTGGTGAGCCAATGTACTCCTCCCAAAACTAGGACCATGTCTTCCCCTTTGATTCTTGAGGCAGGAACCCTTCAAAATCGAAATTCGTTCTTGTATTGGACGGATTCTCTGAGGCTTCGCGATCTCGGAGGGTCATGTCTTGAGCACGACACAGCGGATCGGGAGGCAGCTCTCATCCTGACCCTGCGGCGGATCCAGGGGAAGGGGGCTTCCTATATTCCCCATGTTGAAGCAGGACCCTCCCAACCCCGGTGCATGAACCGCCCCCCTCGGAGGATTCCTGGATCCGCCCCTGTCCTGACCGCGGAAGAATGGTATCCGAGACATCAGAGAACATGTGCCGTTGCGAAGTTGCTACACGCGCGGCATTCCCGAACAAGTGCATGATTCGAGAGAAAGCAGGGATCCCTTATGAGTAGGGCTAGGAAGTTGGCGCGGTCGCGCCGGAAGCCGTGAATTTCCTCGGCATTTCCAGGCGATCCTCCATAGGAAGTCAATAGGGGGTGAAAATTGCCGTGAATTCTCGAGGAAATTGCCGTGAATGATTCCCAGCCTTACTTATGAGGGCCCAGCCGGACCAATCAATTCTCTCACTTACCTATCTATAAGCTTCTTCAAGGTCCACTCGAAAGACGGCAATTCTCGACGCCAGAATTTCGGATAGTACGCAAACGCGAATACAGTGTTCCCCCGATTTGTCTGATTATACACAGCAATATCATGTGACTTTTCCCAGCGAGCCAAGGATCCATCGAGCTGTTGAACCGCCTCGTACATCATGCCACGCAGCGTGGAATCCCCGAGGAAAAGTATCTGGAAAGGTAGCGTGATCGGATCAGAAGCCTGGGACCGGAACGCCATGTGGGGGCACTGGTGGCTGAATCGATAAGTGCATGCAGCCTTTGAGGCGGATCCGATTCCCAGAAAAGAGGAACCTACATCATTGAGATTATGACTCGACGCGAAATACCTTGGCGGTTGAGAGACAGTGTTGCAAGACAACGCGCGGAGTTTCCATGTGCTGACAATCTGGATACGTCCACCGAGCTTCATCCCAGGCGCATGTCTTGCTAGATGAACAACTCCCGCACGGAACCAGCCATCGAGCTGGAAACGATATTGATCGAGAATTAAATACCGATTGAAGGCGCTTCTTTGGAGAAATGGGATACTATCATATCTCACTCATCACTCGATTCTAGTATACGATTTCTCTGCAGATGCCGGAAGGATGCCTGATTGGGCCTCGTTGCCTTCTCATTACGAAAGCGTACCCATGACGAGCGTTTTTCCTCATGGGTACTTTGCATAGTTCTATGGGTCTTAGACTCAACTGACGGCTGACGGACGAGAGTACATATATATGGTAATGAATCATGAAGGCCTCTCGACATCATCTCTTCCTATTCGAGCTCATTTGCAAACCTAGGTCATTCAATTACTCGCAGAATGGGTCTCGATGATGGCTTTCAGTGAACCGGTAATGATTCTGTCAAATGCCAGCAGCACGCAGAATAACCTTTGGAAGAAGGAGATCCGCTCGGCATGAATCACGCACCCGGGGAACTTCAAATTCACTAATGAATCCGTGAGCCGCCGCACGAGCATACCCTCGGTAATTACCACGACACGGGGAGAAAGCTTCCGCGCGCTCGGGATGAGTAAACCTGCTCCTCGGAAAAGTCGTCGAAAGACCGTGCTTTGACGGCCCGATCCCGTGAGGGCAGAAGAGTTGAAAGGAAAATGGTATGGATATCAAGGAAGAACTTAAGCCGACGAGGAAACTGGTTCCAGTATAAAATCTAAGTTTCTCAAGCATGGACCTCACAAAGTCGGTATCCATTGCCAGGAGCCATGTCGGGCCAATGTTCAGCGACTCTAAGAGCCATTCCTCTGTTCAGTGTTCTCTCAGTGCTCAACCTCCTTCTTATCCCATCCGATGCCGTTAGCGACCCATGTCATTTACGGGAATTGGATTTGTGCGCCGCTGACGCAGCTGGAACGAAGAATGTTCCCTCGAGCGATGCCGAAGTTGAGAGCTATTGCAAATTAGCCCAAGGGTCCAGAAACTGCTCGGACGAATACCTCGCTAAGTGCGCGACTCCTCTACAGAAAGAGCTCCTCCATTTCGTTACTGAAGGTCCCGAAAAAACTGCGGATGATTTTTGCTCGAAGGACAGCGCCATTCGGAAAAACTTTCTCAAACATGCACCGTGTCTTGCGAAAGCTCAGGCTAAGGAAAAAGAGTGCGTGAGTGACATGCAAGCAGCCCTCGAGAAACTTGAGCAAGCGAAGCATCAGGATAGAGTAGCGACCGCATGCTGCGCGCACGTCCGGCATCAGAAATGTACGGAGAATATCATAGAGTCCATGTGCGGTAAAGAGGCTATCGAATACGGGCAGCTTATCCTGAGAATGGTGTCTGGAGATTTACCAAACGTGATGTGTCAGGGATTCGACGCAAATCCCCAGTGTCCTTCTTTGTTACCGACCAAAGGCACCACTCCCAAGGGGAACAATAAGTCAATGATCGGCAAGATTATGAAAGCATACTTCAAAGTCTGATTCGGATCTGGACGACATCGCAGCTCCCGAACTTCGGCGTATTTGTCCGCAGATATCTTTCCTCAATAAAAGCCTTCCGTTGAAAAACTGAATAATCCCTTCCCGAGTACACGGTCGCTAACATTAAAATCGCAAGATCGTCTGCCCGCCTCGACAGAATATCGAGTCTCGCGAAAAATCGAATCGTCATAATGACCTCGAATGCCATCAATAATCTTTTTCTCGCTCTGGCCCCGACTGTTCTCGCGCTAGCGCGAGGTTTCTCCATTCCATCGATCGTGGCCGTCCAATGATAGGATGATTTTTAGATTCTAGCATTGAATGAAATCGCGGAACAATCGACTCCTGTCCCTCGTCCGATATTTCCGCGAAGCGATACAGTCGCCTTTTGCCTACCATGCTTTCTCAGCGGGGAGGATATTTCCGTTCACGTATTTGTGAAACGAGCTGACGGATCAGGCTTCACAGACTTTCTCATCGGAAAAAAACATCCTCTATCATCGGCGAATACGCGAAGCGCGAGACACGCGGAGCTAAGAAGGAAGACTGAGAAGCCTGACTCCCTCCATGATTCATCCCCTCGGGGAAGCATGTTACGGCCTCGCTCCAGGAGCCGCTGTTGATCAGAACGACAATCGATGCATCGCCTCCGATAGTCTGCCGTATCCCATGACTTCCCATCAACATGCGGTCGTGGCGGTGAGCCTTGTTTGATAAATGGCGCTGATCGCCATGTTTCGTCATCCGACGACTTATAGCGTCGCGGAGAAGCCCAGCTACTTGACGATGGTCCAGAATGCTCGATAACGATACGAGTTATGCTGACAGTGATTTTCTGTTTTCTATGGTCTCGCTGTGGTATTCAATGAAAAGGATTCGAGAGAGGAGAGAGAGACGCCCGTATCAGAGGTTTTCATGGCGATGCGATGCCTGAGCCTGCCGTGTACCGCTCCTCGTAGACGGATGATCGATACGTTGAATGACATCACGAAGGACAACCAAGTTCGGAATAACAAGTTTTTCCGTACGAGCAGCGTAAAAAAGGAAAAAATCGCGCTGCCACCACTGCTCCGACAGGGAACTGGAGAGGGTATCGACTGGAGACGCTGGTCCTCAGTCTAGTATAAATATGACTTCGAACTCGGTCCGGCTCAGCAGTTGTTCTTCGACAAACACTTGAAGCAGCTAATGATGAAAGTTGCAGCATCAATCGCCATAATTGTTGTAGGCCTTGCGCCTTACGTCGTGTCGGACAAGTGTCATCTACGCGAATTGGATTTGTGCGCTGCTTCAGCAGCTGGAGTCTCGAAAGTTCCTGCTACCGACGCAGACATCGACAAGTATTGCTCAGTCGGTCAAGAAGCCAAGGAATGCGTCAACCAGTACACATCACAGTGCGCGACTCCCATCCAAAAGGAGATTATTGCCTGGGCTACCAAGGATCCACTCCGTAGCAGCGAGGAATTCTGTAAAAAAGGAAGTAAGGTCCGCGGCGACTACTTGAAACACGCTCCATGCTTGGCCAAGGCTCAACCCGAGGGCAAAAAATGCGTCGATGATATCCATGCGGGCCTCGAGAAACTCGAGAAAGCCAAGTTCTCCGATCGCATCCCCACGGCTTGTTGTTTGTATCAGCGCTACCAGAAATGTTCTACTGAAGTCGTCGAGTCTCAATGTGGAAAGGAGTCTATAGAATTCGGACTCGGCCTCCTCCAGCGCAACTCCGGCACCACGTTGAGCGTTCTCTGCCAAGGTTTCGAGAACAATCCCCGCTGCGATTCTCTCCTCCCACCCCCTGGGACCAAGGCTTCCGGGAATTCCAAATCGATCGTTTCCAAACTCTTCAGCGCTTACGTCAACTCTTAGAATCTGGACGCTCCTCATCCCGGCTCTCGGCTTTCGAAAAACGAGAGCAGAAGCCGATTGGTATCAGGAGAAGAAACCTCAACCGGATAGTAGTCCGTGAGGATAATAAAGCGAACTCAATTTTCCCTGAAATCCTCGCACGATCTTTACCATAAGTCGCGGTCGAGCCGCGAATTCAAGATGGACAAAGTACGGTACGATTTGCTCCTCTGCGATGCGCATTGATTGATTAGTCTTGACGGAGGCCGCAAAATTTTCGTTCAATGGAAAGGGTTTATCACAAGTCAGACAAAACACGCTCGGCGCCTCGGCTCGGCGGCGCAAATGGCCACAGACCTCTGGTTAACATTGGGCACCGGCAGTGGACTGTGATTTATCTCAATCCCTTCGTTCTTCGGATACTTGTCGCTGGCACCCGAGGTGAAGGAGTCACCTGTGTTAGCACGGAAGCTTTGGGTGCACGAATCTCGCTCAGATCAAGATCTGCTAGTAAGCGACATCCGATGAGCTCGGGAATAGTTCCAGAGAGGAGTTTCTAGCGTAACCTCAGGGGGGTCCCGTGGGGATATTCCTGCCGTTCCAATAGAAACACTGATTTCGATTATTAGGAACGATTTCTCCGATTCTCGATCTTGTCCCAATATTCTGGAGGAATGCCGACTTTCTGGGCCGGACTAATCGGGAGTTAAGGAACTCGCATCAAAGGACTTCGCTTCGCATATCGTGGTGCCTTCCGACAGCCCTCACCGCTGCGAGAGTGGTCTCCCCCTAAGATTGCGACCGAACCCAAGCACTGAAATCGAACGGATGAGCGGAGTGCCATGAGAGTTCACTCCTCTGAGGGAATCCCACATTTCCGTCTTTCCAGAAAAAAACGCTTCGGCGCCCTCATGGAACCTCGTTATGCGCGGTTGCGGAACTGGATGACGAAAATGAACATCACGCGCTATTCATGAGCATAAGATTAGACCCGGGTCCAGTTATACAGCAAGGCTGACCTCCGAAGTTCCCTCCAGCTTTTTCAGAGCCCGCGAAATCGCAATTCGTTGAACTTAACCATCGAAATAGCGTCGAAATATCGTCGAGGTGTTCCGCGACTTGCTCCGCGGGACCTCCCAGGGGTTTCGCAGCAAGCTTCGCTGAACTCTCGGGGGTTTCGCGGGACAAGGAGGGTAGGGAAGCACTGAAGTAGAGTTCTTCGACGGTTTGCTACATTCGATGGCGTGTCGAATCTGGGACGGATGCCCTTAGCACTCAGGCCGTGGTGTACAATGGGGCCGAAGTGCATTCCCGATGACCAATATCGAAGCTCGGAAGATCGACTCGGCATACGTCCGGTAGTCTCCAACGATGCCTGGAAGTCGTCGGGCCTTGAACAGAAGCGTGGACGATGTAGGTACATGGAGACGGTCCCATGGCTCTCGGAGTGAATTGCACTGTTCTATTACCATTTTTTTTGTCCGCAACAAAGCGCGTTGACCGCATGCGGGAGCTAATCGGGGCCTCTGTCCCGCTACGAAGGCACCGCCGGGACAAGCTGTCTCGTCTCAGGACTCATGTCAGAAATCTGGAGGAGATGCTCGCCGATGTTGAAAATCCGAGTCTTGCTGTAGAACTTGGAAAAGCCTCTTACCGGCTGCGTGTGCTCGAGGAGGCAGGCCTCGATTTCAGAGACTCTAGGACCTTCTTGCGTTATGCTGGCAGGAGACTCAGGGGCAGGGATCCGATTGCCACTCTGGTTACTGCAGATGGAATGCATGTCTCTGACCTCGACAAAACTGCTGCTTTCGGGAAATATTTCTTGTCTGTTTTTGTCGACCACTTTCGGGCATCGGGCATTTCCCGCCTACCCCTCTGAGAGAATATGTTGCTCTCCGCAAATCACCGATGAGCTCGTAACTTGAGAAGCTTCGCTCGCTTCCACCAAAGTCCTCTCTCACACCGGACAATATTCCCCCTATCTCGTATTCCCGCCAACACCAACGGCTACTGAACAGAAGATCTCCCGCGCGAACACAACAACAACGACAGAAACAAGCACACGTGCGTTTTCGGGGGTTATGGGCAACTTGGGCCGCCGTCTTAGGAAATGTTTTCAATGGGAAAGTAGTCTTAATAACGCGCCAGCCAGCCTGACTCGCCTGCCTGCCGGTCGGTCGATCGGCCGCTTGCCCGATCCGTATGCAGCCAGTGAGGGATTCGGAGGACGGGTCGGCTTCTTCGTCTAATTATAGGATCGTACGTATCTTCGGCCGGCATCGGGTCATGGGGCTAAAAGTGGAATCGTCTTCAAGATGCTCGCGCGCGAGTTGAGTGAACCCCTCGCATTGATCCTATCCCGCTCGTATGGAGATGGTATCGTCCCCTCGTCTTTCTTTGTATCCATCGTGACCCCCGTCTACGAGAAGGGGAGCCGCTCTCACGTAGAAAACTGCAGGCCCACTGCCCAATCTCGATTCCATGCATTGTATTCGAAAAACTGATCCATGATCACATGATCAAGACCTCCCGCCCTTCCCGACGACTTTGTGACCCACACCAACATGGTTTCACTAGAGGGAAGTCCGCTGCTACTCAGCTCATTGAAAGGACCCACGACTTGGCCACTTCCGCCAACGACAGAGTAAACATTTCATGCGGGTATTTTGACTTCACGAAGGCTTCAGACAAGATCGATCACAGCTTGCTCATTTCTATGCTCGAAGCCCTCCGTATCGACACGAAAACCACATCCTGGTTCGCGGAGTACCTTGACTCCCGTGCCTTCAGAGTGAGGATTGGGGACTCCCTCGGTCAATCCTACCCGGCGCCCTCGGGGGTCCCACTGGGCTCCGTCATCAGCCCCTTGCTTTTCACCTTGTTTGTTCAGGACCTACCCGGCCGTCTACCCGCTGACGTATCGCATAAAATCCATGCTGGTGATCTCAAGTTGTATTCCCCCATTGATTCAACTGGGCCCCTCAACAACCCTCTCCAACGGGGCATTGATGCGGTGGGGGAGTGGTGTGCACACAATAAGATGATGATCTCGGTCCCGAAATGAGCTTGCTGTCGACGAGTGCCATCGATCCTCTCCCACTCTCCAAGGACTTCTCCTAGCTGGTTCCAACTATCGTGACCTCGGTGTCATCATGGACCCTTGATTGAGATTCAGCGCGCACATGGCTTTCACCCTATTCAACGCGGCCACGATTTCGAATATGATTTTCCGATGTTTTGTCATTAAGAGACCGGAACCGTACCTCCGTCTGTACAAAAGCCTCGTCCTGCCCAGAGTCTTATACTGCGGTGAGGTCTTGCGCCCCACCGAAGTACCGACTTCGACTGTTTCGAGAAATTTCTAAGGCGCTTCCTCCGTAGGGTGGCGGCTCGCTGTTCTGTCCCCCGGGAAACCCTCTCCCTTCCCGACCTGACCTCGGCTCCCGATGGGGCTGATCGTCGTATATATCATCGTTTCCGCCGTCTGGATTCACATGACACCATGTTTGATGTCACTGTAAATAACCGGCGCAGCGGTGCCAATATTACAGCGAGGAAACTGGCTCGAAACATTAATGGAATGTTCGCTTGGCGTGGTAGCACTGCGTCCCTCAGAAACAATAATTGTTATCCTCGAGCCCATCCCCACTGAGGGCTCTTTCTTTCCCCTTTAATAAATGGAGTATCTATCTAACTTCATCTAGCTCACTCAGAGGCGAGCACAGCGCGGCCCCTCCTTGCGCTGCGCGACTTCCATGCTACCTTTGCGACAATCAGATCAGAATCGAAAAAAGATGCCGACTTCCGAACATTTTAGGGACTTGGGCATGAAAAACCTAGAATCGAAAGATCGTCGAGATTCCGACGCTTTCGACTCATCACCTGACACCTGTTCGGCGCAAGCTCGGCTGCTAGAGATGTTTTGAGGTCGATCACGAGGATGGCGAGAGAGGCAATAAATCTAGACTTCTGCTGTGAACGACTTCCCGGCGTCACTGTGTAACGCCCCTGTGAAATTTCCCGCGTGAACTCGTTCATCATGCGTTCCCTGCACCGGGTAGTCTTCTCCGATCGGAGAAAAACATTGAGGAGGTCCTCCCTCTTCGTGTTGGGTGTACCGTCAGGGGTGTCGAATTCGGAGATTTGTAGGGCCTCATGCGAGCGCCAAAGGAGCTCGCGGGCAACGTCTCCGTATCAAGGAGTGGGTGTGCTCGCCGAAGCGAAGAATTCGAGGAATTAGAAAGGACATGATCCCCAGTCGTGAACACCGAAGCCCCGCGAATTTCTCGAAGGTCCCCTCAAAACATTTCCCGAAGACTGAATGAAGGAAGCTCCGCATTTCAGCTCCCGCAGGGCTTGACGCAGCTCACTGTTCGTGGAGAGATGCCCGCATGCGACCTGTGATCCACGAGGTTGACATCCCTGGTAGAGGACGTGAAACGTCCCCGGATTGTTGCTTCCTGAGGTTCGAACACCTACGTTATGTTCTTGGACTTAGCTCGTACCCTGGGGCAATCGAACCCTCGATCGCATAGTGGAGAGCAAGGGCGAGCAGTTCAATCTCAGACATCAGGTCCAAATAAGGAAAGAGTCTCTTGTCTGCCCAGAAGCTCCGCTCGAAACCTTAGTGACATAATTGATCCGAATGATTCAGCGATTCGTCTTGCGTACACCCTTCGACTCATGCTCTACTCCGATTGTAGAATCCTGCAGAAAGACTTCTCATTATTTAGATTTCGTAGGAAAGGGATGCGAAATCGCGCTCACAATCATTGCGCTTGCCGTCCGGGTGATACGCGCAACATCGAGGTTCGAGATCGCTCCTCCCGAGCGCAGCCATTGGTGAGTCATCGTTCGCGCGCCACCGTAGCGCTCTAAAAGGTCTCCGAGGCGGTAGGGGAGGTGTGCGCGCTACACGTGAGACTGCCAGAGAACCCCAGTCTCGCAGGCAGTTCGAGGTCAAGCAGTTGCCTATTGTTTGATAAAACGATTTATCGGTTGATAGGGCGATTTATCGGCAAATTCACCCATATGATAGGGTGTGATTCTCGTGGCGAGAAATTGTCAGCGCGTGACTGGATTCTGTCACTCTTTCGCTTTCATACAGCACAGAGCTTTCCGGAGCTTCCTTTCACGTCGTACTCAGAACAATG